GCTGAGAAGAAAGGTATTTTGCAATTACGCCCTTAGCAGAAAGTAAATAGGGGCTGCTCTTTTCAGGCCCTTTGGGTAATAGGACACACGGTAAGCTGTGCCTCACTGCACTAGCTCGAAGGGAACACATTTAGCAATCTCATTTAGCATAACCCTGGGTGTTCCATGAGCCACAAATATCCAACACTTTCCCGAATCCTGCCAAATTGTCCTCAAATCAATTTGGCAACAGTAGCCAGATCTCCTGTCCCTAAAAAGATGTTTGTTACACTGACCACAACGGACGGGACACATCTATTAAGAACCACCCACCAAAGCCTGTAAACTGCAGTTCAAAGTCACAGTTAAATAGAATTTTAACATAACTAATAATCTAATGAGGATCTTTTAAGGCAGCCAGATAGGTGTACCTCCACCAAATCCCTTAAATGCATGATTAAAGGGCAGAGAACAAAGGCAAAACTCCTACAGATACTTTATTTTTGATACTTTCACTAAAAGATACACAGGAAATGATACACAATGTGCAACAGGAACAAACAAGAATTCAGTGTTGGGTGAAAGTGCACCACCCAAAACTGAGACATGGGGGGAGGCTGGCAGGAGAGACCAGTTGGAGATGAGGGTAGTCTAGCAAGCCTATGGATGAGGTTTGCACACAGGATTATGGATGTGAGGAGCCAAGGAAGTAAATAGCTAAGAGGAAAGACATGAAAGGGGTTTGAATTGCCTGTTCTAGCTGCCTTTTGTTCTCAAGGCAGTGAATCGTTCTTATTCAGTAGCATGTGTGTATTGTAAATAGAGTCCTACTTGTCCCCCACCTCGCCTCCAGTCACCAAGGGACCCATCAGATCCACTGTACTGCAAGATGACAACCACACACTGGATTGTGGTGAACAAGAGTGGTGTTTCTGCTGCCAGAAAAAAGCTCCCACTCCCAAGACAAGTCCATCAAGCTTCTTGAAGAAAATGTGACTGTTAGACACACTATTCTCCGCACCTCTTCCAGCCAGTGGTCATGGTTGCTGCAATGTTGCCAACACCCCAGTCAGTCTCCGCGTCTGCCACCTCCACTATTGGCTGGAGTGCTAGAACCTTCCCCTTCCTCTACTGCATCTGGGTTTCAGTAGCTGAAAGCATGAATGTGGGATTTCCATCCTTTCGAAACAGGCCCATGCATAACCTGCAGATGCAGCGACAGCGTAGCGCATACTGGCAACCATCTGCACTGAAGTGCACTTGCTGCATGGAACACTTTGAAACATTTTGTTTGTATGAGCAGCTGAAGCTGGCACATCAAGCACAGTTTGGAATCCACTCAAACACACAGGCAGCTCAGAACTGCCAATGGCCCTGCGTGGGCTGCAGGTGCAGAGGTAACGGTCAGATCAGTTGTAGGTATGAATTTCCTAAGCATTCATTAGGCTGGCTGACCAGCTAAAGCCACAGCTCCAGGCATATCTGCTGCGCTGATAAAGTTAAGTGTTGGGATGGCAAGTTGGCAGAAGATGCACATCTCTCCTGGTCCACTTTCTAGCTTCTCACGGAACCCTGGATTTCGAGTGGCCGCTGAGGTGATGTGTTTTTGTGTTTCAAAGAATGCTGCTTCCCCAGATATCAGGAACAGTCCCTGCAAACCACGTGAGACTCTCCTCCTTCAGCCTGTCCTCAAGGAGTTTCTCTCACCTGGCTTCTCCAAAGTCACTTCTCCCGAAGGACACAAACACCAGCATCACAACGCTGCGTCCCCAGCGAGGTCACTACTTCCCAGCTGTCGATGATGGGATCATAGCACTCGATACTGCTCAGCAGCGAGTTGCCATCGTACCTGCAAGGGACAGAGGGTTACAAGTGAGCAACGATGGGGGAGGGGAGAGAGGAGGAAGTAATAGAGCACTGGGAAGGAGTTTGAGTTACCCATGACATTCAAACCTGTGTTTACAAGCAAGAAGAGCTGAAATAAGATATCACAGCAGTTTTAGAGTCTCCCACCACCTCAGCAGCATCCCAGCACACAGCGTTCCTTGTTTAATTCATTATGGGAACGCTCTGGCCTGTCATTATTTAAGTGCGCCAGAAGGGAAATGCAGAGCACCCTTCTTGTGAAGCTCTAACGAAGGATCTGCAGCCACCACAGTGAACTCACTTATACGCTGGCTTGTGTGCTTGGTGACACGCTATTGCACCCTTCCCCCAGCCTGGGTTGGACACTACTGCCACCGTGTTTTAAACACAGCGTCCTTGTCTATTTAGCACCATGTTGGAGGTTCCTTTCATACCACCAAGCAAGTTCCCAGTGTAGACAAGGCCCTCAAAGACTTTCCCCTCTCTAGAGCAGCAAAGCCCCCCTTTCTTACCCAGCTATTGCATACAGCCTTCCCCTCAGCACGGTGGCACCCACATAGCAGCGAGGTGTTGTCATACTCGTCACAGTCGTCCAGGAATCAGTACGAACGTTATATGCTTCCACAGAGGAGAGATGCGCTGTGCCATCAAACCCACCAACAACATAAATGTGGTCATTCAGCAAGGCTACTCCTGCTCCTGGAGGTGGAGGGAAGGGTATTACAGTGAGCTTCAACCACCAGCACACGATTATTACTGCAACCAGGCTGGCTGGAGTACTCCCAAGAGTTGCAGCCCCATAGCAAGGATGCTGCTTCACTTATAGGCCATGTTTACACAGCAGGGCTGAAACCAAAATAAGCTAGACAACCTAAGCTACGCAACTGACGTAGCTCAAGTTGAAACAGCTTAACTCGGCTTTTGGTGCTGTCTGTCTACAAAGCAGGAAGTCCGAGAAAGAGCACTCTTCCTTCGACTTCTCTTACTCCTCGTAAAATCAGGGTTTATAAAATTATGTAGACATTATGTTGAAATAACTGCTTTAGTGTAGACACGGACTATGTTCTTTTGGAATAATATCAGTTATTCCAAAAACACTGCTGTGTGGACGTACCCATAGGCCCAGAAAGGACGTATCTGACTTGCTTCATTGCTGCAAAACAGCCTGTTAAGGCTAAAGAGTTTCCTGATCTTTCTTGCCCCAAAGGAGACACTTTGGTGAAAGTTGGGCAAACTTTGTAATTTTCATTCATCCAACCGAGAACACCTGGAATTTCCTACTTTTAGTGACAGTTTGGTTCATATGCACAGGGAGTAGGGAGGGACATTGGGCTCAAGCTATAAACATGCACCCTCAACTTAAGGGGACAGAAAGGCCAAATGAACTGCCATGGTTCTCCTAAGTACATGTGGGAGGCCATACTGGGGACTCAGTACAGAGGAATAGTTTGGTGGCCGTACAAAGGAGTGGATCCATTACTACGCGCACATAGGCCTAACCCCTGCACAGTGGATGCAATGCATTTCTGGCTGCTACACAGCTCATTAGCTCTAGCAGAGAGAATGCAGCTGCTCTGCGGGGTTAGAATTACTTTTCCCCATCCTTAGATCTTCCACACCCAGCCAGGGGAAAGCTGTCTTTAAGGGCATAAAGGCTGCATGAAAGAGGTATGGGGGGAGGGAGGGAGAGAACAGAGGAATTTCCATGTGCCTGTGTGGAGGAGGGGGAATGTGCAGGCTTCCATAGGCAGGGGGAATCCCCAGACCCAGTAGCAGGGTGCAGTGTAATGCCCAGGCCCTGTAGCTGCAGGGAGGAGAGGAACCTTACCCGTAAAAGGTGGCCTAGCCAGCAACATGCAGAGCCCCGTTCCCTCTCACTTTTGTGCTGCTGTGGCTGTCCCTAGTGCTCACTCTGCAATATCCTGTCTCCGCTCGCTGTCCCCCGTGGTGAGAGTGAAGATCACATCCCTCCTCTCTCTGCCCCCCTCCCTTTCCATGTTGTGGAAAACAGCCCCATTCCAGCCACTTCCCATGTTCTTAGCACAACTAAACCCTACCCTTGCTTTAAGTTAGGGCCGCGTTTCTTAAACCGTGGGTCCCAACCCCCCGGGGGGGGGGTCACGAGCAGCTTAGAGGGGGGTCGCGGGGTCACAAAGTTTGAGAAACCTTGAGTTAGGGTCAGAGAAAGCTGCTTACCAAATTTGGTGACACTAGCTGTTACTGTTTAGAAGGAGTACTTGCTCAAACAGATGGACAGATATTTCTAAAATATTATCTACAAATATATCTATTGTTTGCTGAAACAAAAGACAGGACTATGGAACACTTTAAAGACTAACAAGATGGTTTATTAGGTGATGAGCTTTCGTGGGCCAGACCCACTTCCTCAGATCAATATGTGAAAGAAAATTGACATGATCATATATACCAAAGAGATACAATCAAAAAAAGTAAACATATAAAATTGACAAATCAGATTTTAGAACGGGAGGAGGGGTGGTAAGGGGCGGAGGTTAGTGTCTATGAGATAATGATATTAGAGGTGATAATTGGGGAAGCTATTTTTGTAATTGGTACGGTAATTAGCACCTTTGTTAAGGCCCATTCGTAAAGTGTCAAATTTAAGCATGAATGACAGTTCTGAGGTTTCCCTTTGTAGTCATCTAGGGGCTTTTTGGGTAACGATGGTGCACATCCATACACAACCTCAAGAATGCACGTAAGAAAATTCCACTCACCCAAGGATTGAAAACGTTAAGAGGGAGCACCGGTACTGAGCGCCCAAGAGAGACAGGGGAGCGCGGCTGACCAGGGCATATCCTTACTCATCATTTGGGAGCACTGTCCCTTTGGCACCAAGGCTACCCTGGAGAGAGCAGAAAAGCCCCCTTGTGGAGAGAAGGCAAAGGCTCTCCTGAATGGTCACCCAGGGCTGAGTAAGGATTGCTGCGCATCTCCAACAGCTAAGCTCCACACGACAGCAGACGTGTGATGGCCTCCAGGATACGAAGGCAGGCCAGAAATCCCTGCTCTGTCCAATCTCGCATTGAATCCTGAATATCAGAGTTCTCACCTGAGCGCTTGGTGGCCATTGGGGTGACATTTGTCCAGTGTCCAGTATGAGGGTCGTACCTCTCCACAGAGTTTAAGATGTTCAGCCCATCATAGCCCCCTGCAATAACATGAGAGCAAACAGTAGGATCAACCCTGACCACTGGTTCTTCAAAGAGCATCGCAGTGCCTGTGTCTGCACCATCCCAGATGGCTCTGGCTTCGTGACTCCTTGGAAGCGTGAGCAACACTACTAATAGCGCCTGACAGGCTGAACAGAAGTGAGCACAGTGTCTACTCTGCACCAGACAGAGGCTGAAGTCATGGAGGACACAGAAAACAAGGGCTGGGGATGACCTGAGATGGAAGGCACAGACGACTACTGCAACTTTTTCAGGAAATTGTACACAGAGTGGCCACATCACACTACATCAGCAGTGCAAAAACACTGTGCTACCAGCACATAGGGCAGGAAGAATAAGAGAGCCAAGGAAGGCTGGGGAACTAAGCATGGAGCAGCGAGTGACTATCTAGAGTAGAACATATGATTCCCCTAGAACAAGACCATGATGAGGGTAGTCAGAAAACAAAGCCACGGTGCTGCCTTGACTAAGGGCCCTGGATACGCATTCAAAGAATGAGCTTGCTTAAGGCATTCTCCATTTGGCCCTCAACATCCAGTGTGGCCTAGGGATGTTAAGGACTAGTCGACTATCCGATAAACAAATAGTCAGTCAACTAGTGGACTAGTTGATTCCTCCCCCTACCCTTGCCGCCTCTATCAGAGGCAGCAAAGTGGGGAGAGAAGAAGTGGTACTTCAAAGCAGCAGCACCACGCAACTGAGCCTGGGATCAGCTGTGCAGCGCTGCCGCTTTGAAACACTGAGGTGGCGTTCAAAGGGACAGTGCTGCACAGCTGAGTTTGTGGAGCCTGGGGTCAGCTGGGGACTCCCCAGCTGATCCAGGGCTCTAGCACAGAATTTCTGCAGACCCGAGGATCTGGGGAAATGCTGCACGAGCCGCAGTTAGCTGTGGAGTCCCCAACTGATCCTGGGTTCTGCTGAAATGCCGCACAGAGCCCGGGATCAGCTGAGGATTCCCCAGCTCCCCATGGCATTTCAAATCGGCAACGTAGCATGGAGCCCGGGATCAGCGGGGGACTCAGTCTCCCACTGACCCCAGGCTCCATGCTATGCTTCCGCTTTTAAATGCGCAAGAGCCCCCGTTGGGGACTCTCGTACGTTTCAACGCTGGCACGCCACTTGCAGTCCGGAGTCAGTGGGACTTCGGGCTGCACGCTGAGTTCAGCATTCCTCCTTTGAAATGTACAAGAGCCCAAGTAGGGGCTTTTGTACATTTCAAAGGAAGACTTTGCAAATGCCTATCGACTAGTCGAGCAACTGATGGAAATTCCATCGACTACTCAGCTAGTGAATTAACCGTTACTTAACATCTTTAGTGAGAGCAGTGGGAGCCTTTCGGCCTCCACAGTGAGAAGCTGGAATGCAAGTAGCTCAAGACAGGCATTTCCATGTTCCAGTGGCACCACAGCTAAAACTACTCCCCAGATACTAGCTATCCCACAGCCTTCACACTCCAGCCAGCACACAGTCCCACATTATCCTAGAACTGGAAGGAACCTCGACAGACCATCAAGTCCAGTCCCCTGCTCTCACGGCAGGGCCAAGCATGGTCTAGATCATCCCTGCTAGACGTCTATCCAACCTGCTCTTAAATATCTCCAGTGATATTTATTTCAAGCAATTTATTCCAGTGTTCAATCACCCTGACAGGAAATATTTCCTAACGTCCAGCCTAAACCTCCCTTGCTGCAATTTAAAACCATTGCTTCTTATCCTATTCTCAGACGCTGTTATGCTCCCTCTTAGTTTTCTCTTTTCTAAACTAAACAAACCCAACTCTTTCAGTCTTCCCTCATAGGTCATGTTTTCTAGAACTTTAATCATTTTTGTTGCTCTTCTCTGGACCTTCTCCAAATTCTCCACGTCTTTCCTGAAATGTGGTGCCTAGAACTGGACCCAATACTCCAACTGAGGTCTAATCAGTGCAGATTAGAGCAGAAGAATTACTTGTGTCTTTCTCACAATACTCCGGTTAATGCATCTCAGAATCATGTTTGCTTTTTTTGCAACAGTGTCACACATATTTAGCTTGTGGTCCACTATGACCTCTAGATATGACCTTTCTGCAGTACTCCTTCACAGACAGTCATTTCTCACATTGTTTGTGTGCAACTAATTGTTCCTCCCTAAGTGGAGTACTTTGCATTTGTCCTTATTGAACTTCATCCCGTTTACTTCAGACTATTTCTCCAGTTTGTCAAGATCATTTTCAAGAATGACCCTATCCTCCAAAGCATTTGCAGTCCCTCCCAGCTTGGTATCATCTGTAAAGTGTACTCTCTATGCCATCAACTAAATAGCTGAAGATGCTGAACAGAACCGGTGCCAAAACTGATCCCTGTGGAACCCCACCTCTTATGCCTTCCAGCATGACTGTGAACCATTGATAACTTCTCTTTAAGAAGAGTTATCCAACCAGTTATGCAACTTTATAGTAGCCCCATTTAAGTTTTATTTCCCTAGTTTGTTAATGAGGGTCATGCAAGACTGAATCAAATGCTTTACTAATGTCTAGGTATATCACATCTGCCGCTTCCCCCTTATCCACAAGGCTTGTTATCCAATCCAAGAAAGCTATCAGATTGGTTTGACATGATTTGTTCTTTATAAATCCATGCTGACTGTTATATATCACCTTATTATCTTCCAGATGAATTCCTTAATAATTTGTTCCATTATTTTTCTTGCAACAGAAGTTAAGTTGACTGATCTGTCATTTCTTGGGTTGTCCTTATTTCCCTTTTTATAGATGGGCACTCCATTTGTCCTTTCCCAGTCTTTTGGAATCTCTCCCGTATTACATGGCTTTTCAAAGATAATAGCTAATGGCTGAGATACTTCTCTCAATCAGCTCCTTGAGTATTCTAGGATGCATTTCATCAGGCCCTGATGACTTGGAGGCACCTAACTTTTCTAAGGAATTTTTAACTTGTTCTTTTCCTATTTTAACTACCCCATTTTCACTACGTTAGGCATTCAGTTACTACCAACCTTGTTGGTAAAAACTAAAAGAAAGAAGCAATTAAGCACCTCAGTTATTTCCATGTTTTCTGTTATTGTTTCTCCCTCTTCATTGAGCAAGTGGGCCTACCCTGTCCTTGGGCTTCCTCTTGCTTCAAATACATTTGTAGATTGTTTTCTTGTTAACCTTTTGTCTCTAGCTAGACTGAGCTTGGTTTGTACCTTTACCTTTCTAATCTTGCTGCCCTTGCACACTTGTGTTGTTTACATTCATCCTTTCTACTTTGTCCTAGTTTCTACTTTTTATAGGACTCCCTTTTGATTTTTAGATCCTGTAGGATCTCCTGGTTAAGACAGGGTGACTCCTTATCTTTTCTATACAGAGGAATAGTGTGCTCTGATGCCCTTAATAATGTCCCTTTGAAAAACTGCCAACTTCTACTGTTTTTCCTCTTAGTCTTACTTCCCCTGGGACTTTACCTACCAGCTCCCTGATTTTACTGAAGTCTGCCTTCTTGAAATCCAGTGTCCAAATCTCAGCTGCCATGTGGTCCAAAATGCCTCTTATAACTCCAGAACAAACCATCAAAAAGTCTCAGCAGTGACTCAGAGAAGTCTGTCTCCTGAACAGAGCTGCCCAATAATCTCAGGAGAGACAAGTTGGCAACATTCTGCACACCCCAGGAGCCTTTATAGATGGCATCTGCCCTGCACTCTGGGTAGGGCACTAACATTTACAAAATGGTGATGGATCCTAAGGGTACCTACCAAGGCAGTAGATAACACCATTAGCTACAACAAGTCCTGCTCCCTCCCTAGCTGTCTGCATGTCTCCCAGCATACTCCATTGATCGATATTTGGATCATATCTTTCCATGCTGGTGTGACGCCGGCTTCCATCAAAACCACCAGAAACGTAGATCATGTCTGCAACATAATACAGAGAGCAGATTCAGAAAGAGATGAGCAGAAATATATGCCCTTCCCTCTCTCTCACATCCCACCCTATTTCATGCATCCCATGTAGGAGGGTACGTCTAAACTACATGGCTCCGTCGACGGAGCCATGTAGATTTGTTTGTTCGGCAAAGGGAAATGAAGCCGCGATTTAAATAATTGCAGCTTTATTTAAATTTAAATGGCTGCCCCGCTCTGCCGATCAGCTGTTTGTCGGCAGATCAGGGCAGGCTGGACGCTCCCCTGCCTGCATGTACATCCTACGAGGCATAACTGGGTGGTCGATAAAGGGCTTTCAGGTCGGCGCGGGAGAGTCCAGACTAGTGCACTGAGCTGACAAACAGCTGATCAGCTGTTTGTCGGCTCAGTGCAGCAGCCTTTTAAATTTAAATGAAGCCGCGATTATTTAAATCGCAGCTTCATTTCCCTTTGCCAATCAGCCTAATCTACATGGCTCCGTCGATGGAGCCATTTAGTTTAGACACACCCCGAGTGTCTCTGTACATAAGAGACCTAGAGTCATTTGGACACAGCCATATATTGATGTTACATCAGCACTTCCTTAGAACGAATATTTAAATTATGTAAACACTATGTTTGAAACCTACTGCATAAATCCCAGCCCAAAGGCCTTCCTTAGCCATATTCCCTCATACAGCTCTATGGAACAAAATATCTATTGATTATATTCACATTGTTTACTGCAAATGTAATTTAGCAGAATGTTAAGCAACATGTTAAACTGCAGCAAATAAATCAATACAGGCCCCTGAAGGTGCTCCCAGCCAAGAAAAGAGAAATGGGGCCCATCTGTTAGCAGAGGTCCCAGCAGTGACATCCAGCTGGGACACACAGGAGTTGGCCTCTGCCAAGTCTATACTACACCTGGAAGATCAGCTTCAGGTACACAACTCCAGTTACATAAATAATGTAGCTGGAGTCAGTGTACCTTAAGCTGAGCTTGGCACCATCTCCACAGCAGGAAGTTGACAAGAGCAAATGCTCCTGTCAACTTCACTTACTCCTTATGATTCAAGGAGTATCAGTGTTGACTGGGGGTGCCCTGAGTGTTCAATTTAGTGGGTCCTTACTAGATCCACAAAATCAAACACCAATAGATTGATCTCCAGCACGGTAATTATATACATGGTAAGTACAGACGGTAAGTATATACATGGCAAGTACAGACACCTGGGAGATGAATTCTAAACTTCAGGGTACAGAATGGAACACACTCACTCCCTGGAACTAGAAACACACAGGAGAATCCTAGAATCCTAGGGTTGGAAGACACCTCAGGAGGTCATCAGTCCAATCCCTAATCCTCTTAGGTTGAAAAAGAGGAAAAGCTGCTCTTAGGGTTAATGGACGAGTAATTTTCTCAAACTCCAAATGCTGAGAGATACAATCTCCAGTCAGTTACTCCTCTCCCCTTATCAGCCATGCCAAAGGTGCTGACACTGCATTTCATGCTGATAATGCACCCATCTGGTCTCTGACAAGTGCTGATCAGTGTGTACCTCCTAGGGTAGTGGCCCCAGCCAGGCCTCGACGAACATTCATTGGAGCCACTGAGTACCAGATGCCATCCTCATCCGACGTATAATCCAAGCACTCCACAGAGCTGAGACGGGAGCGGCCGTCGTATCCCCCAATCACATAAATCCGATCATGCAGGGACACCGTGGCAACATAGCGCCTCTTACGGGTGATGCTCTAACACATTTGAAGAAGCGTCAAAGACAGGAAATGACACCAATACAGTGAGCACTCTCAGAGCCTCTCTAGGTTATTCCATCCCTTTCTGCTGTTGCACTCAAAGGGACCTATTTACATAGCCAAAGTCCTCAATTCTGTGGGGCATACTGGGTGAAAATTATATGTAGAAATCTTGGATCCGTGTGTATGGATCCCCTTCCCTATGGTCTCCTCCTCAGTACTTCTAACCTCCCAGTCCAGTATCCCCTTTATACTATTTATTTTGTAATTAAATTCAGTTTACTTTCCGTTGCCCCCAAAATCTTCAACGTGCCCAACATATCTGCACTCCCATCATTTGTCTGTACTGTAGTAACTGTCAAGAGCGAACGTTGGAAGGTGCAGCCGATATATAGGGAGGCAGTTCACCCCAGAGCACAATGGAATTTGGCAATTCTTGGCACCCAGGCTCTTCTAGGTTTATAGGTACTGGGAAGGAAATGAAGTTCCTCCATTCTTCTCCGACCTGCTCCCACTTGGCAAATGGCTTTACATTTGGGGAATAGTGCTCCTTACTCTCCATCCCCAGAGCTCCCATGTTCCATCTCCACTACCTCCCATTACCTTCAGCAATCACAAATACGCACGTTAACAAGGGGTCTCTGCTAAAATATCAGTGGTGAAATAATGGCAACTGACAATTAAGCTTCACAGTGTTAATGCTCCTCTGAGGTGAACTGGGCAAGTCACACACTCATGGAGCCAGAGTTTTGGTGTCTCTGCAGACTCAGCTAATAACAGTAATAATTAGCCTCCATACAGTGCTTTCTAGCAGCAGATCACAAAGCGCTTTAAGAAGAAGGTATTGCTAACGCCATTTCAAACAGGCACAGAGAGGTGGCCAAAATCCACAGAGTTCTAGTAGCATGGCTGAGGACAGAACTCAGGTTGCCCAAGTCCTGGCACCTTTAAAACTTCAGTGTGGCTCACATCAAGTTTATATTTTCATTTTTCCCCCTGGGCCATATGAAACTTAACGGCGACCTGCAAAGGCAAGAATAGGGCTAGAGCATTTACATTTTTTTTTATAAACGATGGATAAAAGAAGAACTTCAATGTCTGCGTCTTAAGTTTCCCCCTTGTTTCTTTTCCTATATTAGAAATTCAGGTTCTGTCTAGGTTCAAGTCTCAAGTTACACAGCAAAGAAAAACTGTGGTTGGCCCAGGCCAGCTCACTCAGACTCATGAAGCTTGATCTTAGGGGACTGCTTCATTGCAATATAGAGGTCTAGGCTTAGGCAGAAACCCTGTGTCTGGGACTCAGCCAGCCCACAGGCCCTAAGCCCAGACACCTGAGCCACTGGTGTCTAACTGCTGTGTAGACACATTGTGGTAAACGCAGATTTAGCAATAGGATGACATCATAAGAAAGCAAGAGTTATAGTAATCGAAAGAAGGGATTTTTAATCCCTTAAACATTTTTTAAAACACAGCTATTTAACTTACTAATATTTTGGAGAAAGGATACATTTGTTACAAATTCCCCAACTTCATAGCTGCAATCAAGGTGAGAAAGCAGATAATGCACATGCTCCATGACATTCAGCAGAACAATGCAGATCAAACACCTGATAGATACTCCGGAGGTTAAAGAAATAGGAACCCAGAAACAAAAACAATTCTATTCCTAATGTGAGAAAATCCTCTGCAGATTTTAAGGGTGCAGAGCAGTGGTCCCCAACCTCTTGGGGCTGCTGGGTGCCTGGGGCAGGCACCGCACGTCTGGGGGTGGCATCTCGCATGCACTGGGCGCCCAGGGCACAAGAATGGCTTGGGCCAGCCCTGGTTACTAGGTGGGTGCACATAAATGGTGTAGAGGGGTCTTCCAAAGCTATACATTCCTGCCTCTGGAAATTTCCACTACATGCATCTGACGAAGTGGGTCTTTGCCCACGAAAGCTTATGCTCCTACACTTCGGTTAGTCTATAAGGTGCCACAGGACTCCTCGCCGCTTTTGCAAAGCTATACAGCAACTTTAAAAATATCAGCAATGATTCAGCCATTTATACAGCCCTGTAGTCACATTACAGAGGTCTTTGTTTTGATGTTGCAAGAGAGACAGCATAGTTCTACCACTCCTTCCTGGTCTAGATTCCCCTCTCCAGTCCCTCGTGTCTCTTCTTTCATCTGTTTCTCTTCCTCATTCTCTCACTCCTTTCTCTTTTTTTGATCTTGGAGAAACTGGCTTTTCTACCCTAATTGGTTACTAACTCTATGGCTTCAATCCACTAGATTAGTATTCTCAGGGCTCGACAAATCCGTTTATCTACTCACCCGTGGTGAGTAGATTTCAGCTGGTCGCCCCGTTCACCAGTGGTGTGCGCATGCGCGGTGCGGGGCTGGCGAGTGGATTTTGCCGCGGTTTGTCAAGCCCTGAAGAGTCTTATATAATCCTTTCCTATGATTTAAAAAAAGCCCTATTCCCAAGTACATAAGGAGCTACAGCTGTGCATAAAATTGGGAATTTTGAAAATGTCCCACAATTGAGAATAAAAGCTGCAGCGGGGTAGCCAGGTCAGTCTGTAACAGGAAAAACTTTAAAAAAACCAACAACAGTCTAGTAGCACTTTAAAAACTAACAAAACCTGTAGATGGTATCATGAGCTTTTGTGGGGAAGGGGAGGAAGAAAAACAGTGAGTAGATAGACTCATTCAGCTATCCTTCTGAAGCTTAACCAACAACAGTCTAGTAGCATCTTAAAGACTTAGTAGTTATAAGAGGCTGATAAGAACCATTAGTTAGCACTTGGAAAGGAAGATGACCAACAGCAAGAAGCCACAAATAAGAGTCACTTGGGCTATGTCTACACTGGCGCAATCTTGCGCCAGAGATATGCAAATGAGGCTAAGCGTGGAATATCGCTGAACCTCATTTGCATATCGAATGAGCCGCCATTTTTGCGGAAGAGGCTCTTGCGCTAGAAGGAACTGTCTACACTGGCCCTTCTTGCACAAGAAAAACCCTCTTGCACAATGCCCTTATTCCTGAAAATAATCAGCATAGCAGCATTGCGCAAGAGGGTTTTTCTTGCACAAGAAGGGGCAGTGTAGACAGTGCCTTCTGGCGCAAGAGCGTCTTCTGCAAAAATGGCAGCTCATTCGGTATGCAAATGAGGCTCGGCGATATTCCACGCTTAGCCTTATTTGCATATTTCTCTCTCAAGAAGCCACGAGTAGACATAGTCTAAGATCTGGGTTTGAGTCCCCACTTTGCCATGATGTGATCTAGTGCAATAATTTATATTCTCTCTTTCTCTGCTTCCATTCCACGCCTGTACAATGGGCACACACTGCAGTAATAGGGACCCCATATGTAATAAGGATTCATTTTTCTCCTTGTTCGTTGCCCCGGAGAGCAGGGGAACCACATCAGAACACAGCCCAATCCAATTAGGCACCACACAAACATCTGAAGTACATTTTCCCTGATCACTGGGAAAAACTAAATAAAACACCTTTGCCTGCCCTATAATAAACATTCCTATTTACAAATAAATCAGTTGCTCCAATCAGAAACTAGAGAGAAGTTGGAGATAAGTCTAGATTTCCATTTGAGCCCTATCTTAAGTTCTGCAGAGGCAACACACACATTTCTAACAAAAAGAAGAGTGCTCTAGAGTACTGATATTGTGAGTTCTTAGTGTACAACCAGTCCCTAACATACAGCCACCTCGACTTATGACCATCCGCACTTACGACCAAAGCGGTCGTAAATGCGGGCTCCGAGTTACGAACGCGACCGGCGCTTACGAACAGCGCGGTTGCAATGGAACTCAATGGGTTCTGAGTTATGGCCAAGCATTTGGTCTGTAATGCGTTTGTAACTCGGGGACCGGCTGTAATTCAATAAAGTACAATTTACATTCTAATTCTCTTACAGGTTTCTTCAGCTGGTCAACTCATAAGGAGTTTTCAGAAGTTGTGCATCACATATGGATTAAACCATGTTTCCATATAGAGATGTAATAGTGTAGTCAATTAACCAATAAGCAAAAGCTTATAGGTTAATGCTATAGACCACACACATTTCCCCTTCCCTCACCCTGCTAGTAAATATTATAGCAGGCTGGCCAGCAGCCCAGCACAGTCCTGGCTTGCGACAGGTCTGGGACCTACCCTGCGGTGGCTCTGCTTTTAAAGTGTATTAGGAACCAGGCAGGCAGGCAGGCAGCCTAGCTCAGTTCTGGCTAGTGCCGGGTTCAGGAGCTCAGACTGCCCTCCCTCCCCCCTGGATGGGGCTGCTGCCACCCCATGCTGTGAGGGGAGCTGGTTTTCAAACTGGCTCCCCTCATAGAACAGCTCCTGCCTGGCACCCCATGCTGCTGCCTCTGGTACAGAGAGAGTAGTGCAAGTGGCAGGGGTCTCCTCGGGAGTGAGGTCAGAGAGCACTGGCTGCCAGCTCCACCCCCAGGGACTACAGAATAGTCAAGTAACCAATAAGAATTCATGAGGTTACTCAACTATTCAATTAACTGATATTAACATCCCTATTTCCCTATCTTTATTGCTTGAGGATATAGCTGGAAATAACTAAAGACCACTTTATAGATTCTCCAAAAGCCACATCCCTTAATCAACAAAAAAGGCCATATTATTTAAAAAAATTAAAGGGGAAAACTTGGAGGGGGAAAGTGAACACAGCTACATAATATTAAAAATAATACATGGTATGATGGATTTGATCCCAGAAATCCCCTTAGGGTTGTCCTGTGGTGTGCTGATCAAGCCAGGATGCCAGGAGATCCACCCTTCCCCCCCCCCCCCCAACCCCTGTTGGAAACACTGAACAGAGGGAAGGATCGGGCCAAAGCTAGAAGGCTGCTTAGCTTCTTAAAGGGAAGTTTGGATCAACTGCTTATGATAAGAATTTGCACTTAATACATTTCTGAGTGGATTAGGAGGCATTTTTTCTTTATTTTAATTTTGTAATTTACTTTGATCTGACTGACTGTTTTCACCTGCAACCATTTAAATCCTACTTAATACAACACTTGTTTACTCTCAAGCCCAGTGTAAATAATTGTTACCGGGCCAGGGGTGGAGGGAGCAAATCACTGTACATCTCTCTCTTTCACTGATAAAGGGAGCTGGCCTTATGAGCTTTCTCTGTGTAAATCTTTTACACAGAGTAAGAGATTTATTTGTTATAATGCAGAAAAGATATACATGTTCACAAAATATTTGTGTTCTGGTTTATACAAATATGGATTTATACAAAATAGATTCAATCAACTTAGCTTTTTTTATGAGATTACAGGTTTGACAGATAAAATTAATATATTTCTGTAAAGGTGTTTGACTTGGTACCACATGACATTTTGATGTTCTAAAAAGATGCAACAGTAACATGGCAGAGATTAAATGGATTAAAAGGTGGATAACTGATAGATTTCAAAATGTAACTAAATGGGGACTTCATCACTGAATGACAATAACAGCAGAGCTGCAGCGGGGCTTGTTCTCAGGACCTGGAATGTGTATTTCCTGAGATAAATCCTGAAATGTCTATGTTATCAATACTAAGACTAACAGTCATCAATTAGTGACATCTTTCCTCCACAGTTTTTACTTAAAACTTCACTCACTTATTACAAACTGTTTAAATAGTAGCATCATTTCCCCACTGCAATACAGCCTCTTCTAGCTAGAATGTGGTAGCTGTTTAACAGCTAGTAGTAACACTGCACAACACTTCCGTTCTGTATTCTCCATTTCTTCTTTTGCAGTGGTAATTTAAGGAGGTAGATTACAATTATCCAATTTGGAATCTGGCCAGAACACACACTGATACAAACCCTTGCAAAAAGTTTCAGGGGAATTTTTTTTATGGCCATAGGAATTTGGGATCCAATTTTAACACCTCATCTAAAAGACAGTCCCACTAGCAGCACTGGTGCACATCTCAGTCAAGTAGAAGAAGGATGCTCCTCAACACTTCTGACAACATCTAACCCTCAGCAGATAAATCTGCAAATAAATCTCCAATTCTAAGCAGAAGAGAAAGGGCAGTCCGCATGGGAAACACTAAGCAATTGGTACCTTATGAGGGTGTTCAGACCTATCAGTATTTTGATCCATTATATTTGCAGGACCCCTTGATGGTGAAATATGTGGCAAAGCAGATGATTCCTTACTGGCAAGAAACTCCACTCCTGAGTCTTTGGGTCATATTTCTCCACCACGTCAATAGGGGACTGCTGACTGCCAAAGCCTCCAATCACTAGCAGGACCTCGTTAGCACCTGAGAAAATTAAAAAAGATGAGAGTCAAGTTAATTCCTCTGCCATCAAGGGAATCCTCTAATGAAACCTTAGAATCCACCTTGGAAGGATGGTCTGTATCTGAAGTGAAAGGGCACAGGAGCCTCTAAATGAATATTGCTCCATCACTGTACCATACAGACAATATTCCATCTTTTCCACACCTGAAAGCAGCTGATGGAGAGTGCATGCTCCTCCTAGCTTAATCTCACAAAAATTGTTGTCTCAAAGGTACCCCTTCAGTGGCGGTCAGACAGAGTACACTCTCATTCACCATTTCACTGTGTGCATCAACCTCCTATGCCCTCCTCGTGCAACCAGGGTTGTTGCTGTACCTAACTACCCCAATGAAGCACAATGGGAGACCTATCTTGATGAAAGGAAGCAAGTCAACTATAGAACACTCCTATTTAAAGGTAGAATGGATGATATGGGGGAAGAACTATTTTCTGAAAATATTAATCTACTATATATTTGAGAGTTTGGGTCTGTTTGTTCAAGAACATCTCCTAAACAGTAAGGGTACGTCTACACTGCCGGTTTTGCTGGCAGTAAGGATGAAAATGAGGTGTGGATTAGCATATCACGGCCTCATTTGCATAATTTATGCACACTTTTTTTGGCGGAAAAAAGTAGCGTGGACGGGGGTTTTTTTGCACAAAAACCCCTTTTCCCACCAGATCCTTATGCCCCAAAAAAGGAGGTTTACCGATCTGGCGGGAAAAGGGGTTTTGCACAAAAAGAAAATGTCTAAACTGCTTGTTTTTGTGTAATAACCCGTAGGCAAAAACGGATTGGCAGAAAATATGCAAATGAGATCACGTGTAGACGAAGCCTAGGAGCTAGGACCACCAAATTCAGCCTCCTCTTACAATCAAATCCTTACATTGCTTTAAGTTATGGTATCAGGAAAATAGGATGTGTCTGGAATAGGACTGCTTCTCATAAAACCACACAAGAAAGAGACCATCATTAGGCAGGTGAAAGGGGCCAGCAGTTTCCTCCCTCTTTGGAACTGCCTCAGCCCCAAGCCTCTGACCCCCACCAATTCAAATGGGGACATACCTGGCTTTCCCCCTTCATTAGGAATCAAGGGGAAAGTACAAAGTTTGCTGCATGCCTCACTCTGGCTAGGAAGCGCAGAGGGTGGCTGTGAACTTTTTTCTCACTCCCTGACAGGGACAGGACGGAGAAGAGCAAGTAGCCCTGGTACAAATTTGCCCCCCCCCCCCCCCCCGGGGCATATACAGTCTCCTGTCCAGAGCTCCTCCTCACACCCAACCCTGACTCCTGCACCCCACACAATCCCAACACCAAGCTTCTCCCTAAGGACCTGACAAACACCAGGGAAATGTGGGAATATCCAAAGACATTTTTCAGGTGACCATGAAGTTAACGGTGTTCAATAATTCTCCTATTAATGAAAGAACAGAGCTCTGTGCCGGTTATCATAACAACTAAGACAGGACCAAGAGCGATTTTCCTGCCTATTCTGCTTAGCCTCAAAATATCAAGAATGTCATGTTTCCTCCTCTGTGTTTTCTGGAGGTCTCATTGGAGGCCTATATTACTGGAATGAGAGCTTGCCGAGCCGTGACCCAAAGGGGAGCCGTGCTGGAACTAACAAAAACTTATTTCCCCTCCAATGTTTGTCAGAAGTTTGAATATAAATAAGTAAATAAAAACCATCAAAGAATAGTGTAATCAATTTCAAAATCCCTTCCCCTACTCAGTTACCCAGTTTCACCTCCCTGTTACTTCTAACATTATCCTATTACTTTCCCCAGTTACCCACAATACTGCCAAGTAAATAAGGATAGCCAAGTCCTGAAAAGAAAATATCATCAATAGTTTGCCTAATTCTTCCTTGTACATCACAGAGAAGGAAAAAAAATCAAACTCTTTCTTTCCTTAAAACCACATCAACAAGAAACTGGTTTTCATGCATGTGTTTTATCCCAAACCTCCAGAGCTCTCCTCACTGTCTCTCTGATTTCTGACTGTTCCCTGAGGGTATATCTACACAGCACTTTAAACCCTGGTCTTAGCCAAGGCTCAAGTCAAACCCCTTTGCATCCACACTGCAAATGTGCTAACTTAGGGCTTAGGCCCAGGGTCTCAGGATCCTGCAGGGCCAGAGAGTCTGAGTCCTACTGCTTTCCTGCATGCAAGTACGAAAGCAGCTGGTCTCTGGTCCTAAAAGTTCTCTGGATGCATCCCAGAATTCCTGGTGGGAGAAGAGCAGTGCTGCAGCTCTCAGAGTGGGCCTGCTAAACGACAGTGCTTTGTCTCTGCTCCAATGTCTGTCCCTTGTTCCCCAAACACCGCCCCCCCAGCCCTACTTGTGACTCAACCTAGAAATGGAAAGCCTAATTCTTGGATTACATGGTAGTTCAATATAAAGCCTTCTTGAACTACAATCATTCTACTGAGACAGCCACCACAGAAGTTAATTGTGCTGCTTATGTACTTGTGTGTTTCTCTGGGCTTCTGCATCCCACCAAAAGTACTGCCACAGACAGGAAACAGGGTGGACAGTAGAGTTTTCCCCACAGTTCATACATTCCTAGGTCTACAGTTGATATGCAGGGGACAAAAGTTCCAGGTACTGTGGGATACTGTGATGGGGTTGTTGTCTGTAGTATGTGCGTGTGGTGTGCTTGCTGCATGTCTGAAAGATACCGTGTGCTGAGCTTGTTTGTTTACAGGACCATGTGCTCAGGCTTGCAAGACTGCTAGGCAAGGCAGAGAGCTTCTTAACAAGGCTTTGATACCTAATCCCTTTCACATCCACCAAGACTTAACCAAGGGGCAGGACTCCTCAGGAGGCCAGAGTTTAAAAAGCCCACTCTGAAGTAATCAGAAGAGAGTTTTGCAAGGGAGTTTAGAGGGGGAGTTTAACGTTTTTTAAACAAAAACCACCCAATATTAAAAAAAGAAAAAAAAAAGAAAATCCAGAGAGGATTTGGCTTCACATCCCACAACAGAAATACTAACCCAGGAACCAATTCCTGCAATAAACCCCATTGCCAACTATCTAGCTAAGTGACATCATCACAGGACCTAACCACATCAGCTATACTATCAAAGGTTCATTCACATGCACATCAACTAATGTGATATGTCAGCATGTGCCAGCAATACCTCTCTGCCAGATTTTACCATCTACCACCTCCTCCACCTCATTAGGACAGAAAATCTTCATTAACAGATCCTTCCCTAAGGGATACTTCTGTCCAAGCCACCTGTTGGCTTTCCTTCAGCTCTGAGTTTAAAAAACTGTGTACAACCTTTCCAATTTTATGAAATCGGCCATCTGAGTCCGTTTTCATTTAGGTGGAGCCCATCTGTCCTGTATAGGCTCCCCCCCTCCCAAAAAAAAAAGTTTGCCCGGTCTCAAATAAATTACTCCTCCCTACATCATAATTTCGTTCATGCACTGAGACCCTGCTATCTACCTGGTTCTGTGTATGAAACTGGAAGTATTTCCAAGAATGATACCATTGAGGTCTTGGACTTCAATTGCTTATCTAGCGGTCTAAATATGGTCTCCAGGACCTCTTTCCTATCCTTCCCGGTCATTGTTACCTACTTATACCATGACCACCGGCTCCTGCTTAGCACTACACACAAGGCTATCTAGATGTTTCAAGAGATCCACAACCTTTGCACCAGTCAGGGAAGTCACCATGTGGTTCTCGTTGTCATTGCAAATCTAACTATCTATGTTTGTAATGATTAAATCCCCATAACTATTACCTGTCTCATCCCAATAACTGGAGTCCCCTCCCCCAGAGATTATTCTCAGTGTGAGAAGATAACACAGCACATAATCATCTGGAAGGAGGACCAACTATGGAATCGTAGTCGGATGTTCTCTTTCCCATCCTCCTCAACCACACTATCCCAAAGTCAGTGCTTGTTTCTCAGGCCCAGAAGCAGCACTCCATCTTCAGCTGCTCTGTGAATGCCATGAACAACCACTGATTCTTTTTTGCTATGGCCCTCAGCTATCTCTCTAGTTGTTGCGATATTTCCTGTCTGCAAATATGAGAGAATTATGCATCCTGTATTTGCAATGCTCGTGAGAACAGCGCAGTACTCGGTGTATACCATGCTTCGGTTAGAGATGGCAGAGACCAAAAAGCGTTGGATGTGTTTAAGACTTTTTTGAAAATGGTGCAAAATTTATGCATATGGAAGACACTATGGGATAGATGGAGAAAGTTGCATGCTGGAACCCTAAGTCCCAGAGGTCCCTGGGTGAGTCATTTCTATCCCACGCTACACTGCAAACATTTCCCCAAAGACAATACGCTGGACAGTAGCATGGGGTACACTGGGATAGCTTCCACTCTTGCAGTGCACTTTGCATCAATACAAGCATGCCTGGTCAATACATGCGGCACTGACACAAACAATCAAGTATGCATGTGTCCGTTCACATAATTAACCAGTGGAATAATTTACCTAAGGATGTGGTGGATTGTCCAGTGCTTAGAGTCTTTCTGAATACAGAGTTAACTAGGTGAAATTCTATGACCAGCGTTATGCAGGAGGTCAGGTAGATTAGAATAGTCCGTGGGTGGGAGTTGGAGAGAGCATTATTCCTATGCAAAAGGACTGGTGTGCTGCTTCTGCAGGCCAAGAGTAACTGACCTCTAATTACATGGCAACTGTCTGAGCTCAACTCTGCAGTCCTGTCAGAAAGGCAGATCATGCCTTCAAGCTAGAAAGGGGCTTATGAACTGTGAGTCTAGGGGAGGCAAAGTTTATTTTTGCTCTTTAATACTGAAGTATCTCTTTCACCTCCTACCTCCATGATGTTAATGATCCTGTGAGAGGCGTAGAAAGAAACTGCCCCTCCACATTGCTCCCAAGGAAGCGCATGCTGCAATACATGTCTAGTAGCATGGACAACTCAAAGGGAAAAGATGATCTTTCCACTAAAGCACAGGACTGGGAGGTTAGGCAACCTGGTCTCTATTTCCAGCTCTGCCACAAATTCACTGTGGGTTCTCTGTCAAATCACTTCCATTCTCAGTGTCTCAGTTTCTCTCTGAACAACAGTGATACTACTTGCTTCTCAAGGGGTTGAGTGTTAGCTCTGTAGTATCCGTGAAGCACTGAGATCAGCAGTCGGAAGGCACTAGGCAAACATCTAAATACAATACCTGGCGATTTCCCAAAGAACTCCTGTGTGTCCTTTCCTTTGTTGCTCACCTAGTCGTGCTCTAGTCCTGGGTCCCTGCATCTGACTCCGGAGCTCAGGCCTCAGGTGGAATTTCTTAGCTTCATCTACGAGGTCCCTGCACTGCAAACTGCACCGTATAAAAGGCTGGGGGAAAACATGCATATAGCGTATGTTTGATTTGTTTAAATCCCCTAGAAACAATCGTATTAGACCTAGTTCCCCTGAATTTAAGTGACATTAAAACTCTGACTTGCACAATGACCTATTGGCAACAGAGAATGGCTGCAAGTGCTACAGACAATAAAGGCTAAAAATGCCAGGTACTGCAGGGTTCCCTAACTGAGGGGAACATACAACATGGAGTAAATTGCCAAACTAAGATAAACCAATGTAAGTAACATTTAAACAAGCTCAACTACATCTGTGCTGGGAAACGGCAATACAAATTAGTTTTGGATCAATTTCATTATTCCATTGAAACCATTACAATGCAGATTGCAGCAGGACACACTGCCCTGCTTGTTGAGGGTAATGCATGTGGGCATCTCCAGCTGGGTAAGGACAGCGCTATGGATTATAGGCCATCACTGAAAGGAAACAGCGGGGAAATAGTCCCTAAGGGACTAAACTACAGGAAGCAAAGGAACAAGGATATCAGAGGATCACTGTGCTGTTTATACCTCAGTGTCTATGACATCTGTGATATAGCGGGGGGTAAGAAGCGGCATGCGCACATATTGCAGCAACTCTGGCAAGGAATCCTCCCGTTCCTTTTTTGAGTGTTTCACCCAGTTTATAACTGCCTCAAAAACTGGCTCTTCAGAATCCACCTGAAAAGAAAAAGTAAATAGTCATCACACGGTCGGGGAGAGTGGTTCCAGTACTGGATTCGGGTTAAGCAATACATTTCCAACTTGTTGCCCCTGCTTCTCTTAGTAATGGCTGAATTATTAAACAACAGTTTATCATGAATGATATTTACAAATGATCACCAAGAAGTTCAATTTGATTTTTCCCATTTAAAAAGTGCCATCCAATGTTTTCATTTTCTATCACCAACCTGTCCCAACGTATTTCCATAGCCTTTAGAATTTACTCATTGCACCCCTATTGGCGCTACCTGCAGCCCATGTCCAAACGCTCAAACATTAACCTCCTCACACCACAGGCCCTGGCTTTCTTTGTCCATTTCTCCCCCATGTGAGGAAACAACCTCCAAATACTCACCCCTTCCCAGAAATATGTACTGATTTGTGCCAATTAACATCTGCTGCAGACAGCCTAGAGCTCTCTGGCTCAGCTCTAAAAATGCAAACTGTCTGACTGAAGTGCAACCAGTGGAGAAGGCTTGTAAGTAGGAAGGGTTTCAGCAAATCACTAGGGTTATACTACCAGTAGAACTAGAGATTTCATTCCAGCCACATAGGAAAGTTAGCTCCACTGCCTATGCTTTCGATTCTGCATCTCCAATGGCTCTTATTTTAGAAGTAAGGGCAGGCCAGATGATGGGCAGAGAGATGAGGGGTCTGGTAAAACCCCAAGGGTTTCAGCCACAAGATGATAGAACGGTCAAGCCAAGCAAGCATATCAGCAAACCCTTGGGCTATGTCTGCACTTCTTGCGCAAGAACTCTTTTATGGAAGAGTTCTTGTGCAAAAAATCTTCCACGAGAGTGTGTCCACACTGCCATGTGCTTTTGCACAAGAGCATCCATGGCAGTGTGGACGCTTTCTTGCTCAAGAAAGCTCTGATGGCCATTTTAACCATAGGGCTTCTAGTGCAAGAAATTCATGTTGCCTGTTTACAGTGCCTTCTTGTGGAAGAACTCTTGCGCAAGAGGGCATATTCCTTGTGGGGAAAGGAATAACTCTTCCGGAAGAAGCCCTGTTTTACAACGCTAGACTGTAAATTTACTTGCGCAAGAACGCATGTGCAGTGTAGACAGCCGGCAAGTTTTTGCGCAAGAATAACTGTTCTTGCGCAAGAAGCTGCCAGTGTAGACACAGCCTCAGAGAATGGCTGAAGATCAGACTGAACAAACAAGCTTTTCAAACAAGTTATTAACAAAAAGCAGAAAACTGACAAGGGATGAATAAGCAAAGCTACCTCGTGGATGTCAGGAAGCACAGGGATAAGGTGCGAACTGTCAAAAGCCAAGCAGAGCTGGATCTTGCAAAAGAAATTAAAACTAATTATAAAAGATTCTTCAGTCAAATAAAAACAGCGACAAAAGAAGGGGGAATCTGGAGGAAAGATTGAAGATAATGTAGGAATAGCCCAAAACCTAAAGAAATACTTTGCCTCAGTTTTTAATAAGGTAAGTGGAGAACTTGAGGGAAGCAGCCCACTGACTATCGGGAACAAGGAGACAGAAGCACAAGAGGCTCCCAACTGGAGATGCGATTGCTTCTGGAGGAAGCGTTGCAAGTCGGGGGCGTCTTAACTTGAACCCGCATTTACGGTAGGCGTCGTTGTAAATGGCCGAGGATTTAAGTCGGGGGTTTCTGGCCCCTTCCACACTTACAAAAATGGGGGCCTCTCGTAGAAATTTCCTCATGAGATGGAAGCCAAACTCGGACATTTTAACAGGACCAAACCAGGAGGTCAGGATACTCTCCATCAAAGAATATAAAAAGGAACTAACACATGAAAATGAAAGACCAGTAGCAAGGATTTTTAACAAATCCATAACTCAGAATTCATACCTAATGACTAGAGAAGTGGAACTAGTATTTATCTTTAATATATATATATTAATTAACAGGGGTTGACAAATTCTGGAAAACCCTACTTGCCAGAAAAAAAAGTGGCTCCCCCCTCCCCCCCCCAAAAAAGCTTTTTTAATAGCATAAATTCCTAATAATAAGAAGAAA